TCTGGGTCTCACAAATTAAGAATATGTCAGTTAAGAACCAAGTGGTCATCTGCCTTTTGGGTATAATGGATCTAGAATTCTTGGTGAGTATTTACTTGTATTTTACAGGCTTTGGCTATTCTGGCCATTTTCCTTCTAAGACCTCACCATATTTATCTCCATTTCAAAACATAAAAGGCTGAGCTTGATGGAGGCAAAAATTAATCCCTAATGACCCTCCAGGTGGGCAACTGCTCTGAGTTCCATGATGCACCTTATCTGCACTGCTGGATGCTTCTAAATCATATGCTATACTGCAGAAATTAAAAGTAAACATGCCAACTGCCTTCACCCTTACAGGCATATAATCTTTTTAACTTTATATAAACATACAGAGAGGCAGAATAATAAAAGAATGGAAAGGAAACAACTGTAATTCTATCCAGAGAGCATTTCTCCAATTGTGTACAAGCTACATTTTTTATTTCATATTTTCAACTACACATCTATACTCCATATTCAAAAATTTCTTGCAATATGAAAAGGGAAATGCAGATACATAACAGCATTCTCTATGAGAAAATACATATGTGAACCCTGGTGTTGGAGACAATGAATCATGTTAATATGAAGTTCCCAAATACGTCTTTTCAACCTTGGAAATAATCTCTTGTATACATGCTAACCAAAAAGAAAATAATATTTACTTTGTTATATATAAACTTCCTGGGAAGGGGTCAGCTGGTTAAATGACCTATAACCTGGCTACTTCTCTGTATATTATTACAAGATGAGTTTTTATCTCCAGGATGTTTGTTAAACTAATAAAATTTCTACATCGTTTTTTAAAATGAAGGAGAACCATTTACCTTCAGATTAATGAGAGAAACGTAATAAGTACTTCTTCCCTTCATCCAAAAAAAATTAAAGAATTTATTTTTCCTTAAATTCACTTCAATGAAAAGTGGCCTCAAGTTTTAGGGAAATTATTTCTTGGCCTTTAATAAGCACTCAGTAAACGCTTACTGATAGTGAACTAAAGAGAATTTTAAAAAACCTTTTCACTAGGAGTAAGGCTGAATTTTTTTTGTAAAAATTGTGACCTGTGGAAAAAATGATCCCTGCTGGTGTGGCAGCCCCCAGCTTTGCTGCAGAGCAACACGGAGCGAAAGTGAGAGAGGAGAGATTGGACTCAGTCCTACGGATAGGCAAAACAGCACGTCTATTCATTTAGACCGCTCTGGCGTAACTCTGTCTCTCTCCTGCAAAACACAGCAAGTGCTGTAAGCACTGGGGGGTAGAGATTTTAGCTTGCTGTTTATAAAAGGATCCTGTAAAAGGAGTCTTTGTTCTATAATTAACAGATTGCCAGATACTACAGAAACTTTAGATCTGGAGTATATGCTGTCTTGCTACGCACCCATCTTAAATAGCCTTCCCTTGAAACTATCAATTCACTTAAAGTTGCTGGTCTCTGATACCCTGTAGATTTGCTAGAAACCACATATTGTCACAAGAAATTCTAAAAGACTCAAGAAAGTATATCTACAGAGTGTGACATCAGAAAAGGTAGAGCCTTTGATTTTACCTAATGATCCTTTTTAAAATAATTGGGAAGTTGGATTGAAAACATGGTTTTTGATTATACTTATGCAATATTCTTATTTTTAAAAGCAACAGTAATGAATAAACTTTTAGCATCAGAAATGTTTACTAACAACTAAAGTAAACATTGGCTACATTCTTAGTACAATACAATCTTTAACACAACAACAAACATGAATACACTTCAAATATATTGGCAGATTGCTTCAAAATGCAATTCTCAGCAAGTTTTTGCTCACTTATTCACAGTTCAGAATTAGAGTCACCAGACTTAGAAGACATGAAGAAGAAACGACCAACTGGCTCAGCAAACTAAACATTCATTGTAAAGAACAGAACACTGAAATAAAACTAGGACGACTGTAAAATTCCAGCTCACAAGAAATACAATTTAAACAAATACCAAAAGTTATACTTAAGAAAAAAAAAAAACTAACCACAGAACAGTCTTAAAAAGCTAACAGGATCATTTCTGTATTCATTCTGAAAACTAGTGTATAAGAAAGGTAATTTGAGAATTTCCTAAAAAAGTTCTCATTAGCCATTATTTATGGTGTATTCCGTAACATTGATATCAAGCTATTACAGACTGTTACAACAAGTTAATACGGCATCACTTCACAGTCTTGCTAGTTGACTGTGATTTTTATTTTAACCCTGGATACTACTGGTTCAAAGCTAATATTATCAGTCCTATTGGTTCTCATGTCACAGATCTGAGGATAGTTAAATTCATCAAAGTAGGGAAATACTGATATATTAACTATCTTTAAATATTGTGGGGGAAACTGATTCAATTATTAAAACTTCTGAACTTGAGGTTCTAACACTACAAACAAAGAAAGTAATCTGAAATATGTTTTTGTGGGTAAAACACTACCTGGCATTCAAAATCTACTAAACATGGGATGTAAGTCTTCTTTATCTTCCTTTACTGTTCCTGTCAATTTCTTTGGCCTTCACAAATTTAATGTGAGCTATGAACTCTTTTTAAATAAACATTTTCAATGACATTGTGCTTTTTAGAAAAATCACTTAAATTGTAGCATTCAATAAATAGTTAATATTAGTCTTTCGTTTTATTGCTATATAGTATATATTCTAATTTTTAAAAAGGAGAGAAAAGTGACCCCAAAGGACTTCTTAAAATGTTTGTTAAAGCAAATATTTCAGCTGGTTTTCCTTCTTTAAAGAGTTAATAGAAATGTGTCAAAGGAGTATTACCAAGGAGCTAGAAAGAAGGGTTCCTTTCTTCCCATCCTTATCATTAACTCAGACCAAGCGACCTGTATTCAAAAGGATAAGACAACATCATCTCGGAAACGACTCTCTAAGAACCTAGGAGAGAAATCTCTGTTAGCTCTCTAACCGACATCTGCACGGCGCCCTGTGTCAGTTCCCTCTCAGTGCTGGCGCGGCCGTCCTCACGCCTGCACCTCCACACTGCTCCCCCAGAGCCCCAGGCACGTGGATGAACAGCCTGTGATTACAGCGGACTCTCCAAACTGCATTTCGCCTCTTATGAACGTGATTCGTACCAAAACTCTGACCACCACTTAAGTCGAACAAATCCATTCACGGCACTTAACAGCTCAGCTCCATTTCCCACCCTCTCACCCGGTGTCTTCCAGTGACCCTGGTCTCCATGAGAGGTGAGTCCACCTGGGGACAAGTGGACTTGCTTTAAACAGGATGTATTTTTCAGTTCCTAGCACAGCGACTTTTCCTTAAAGGTTGCTGACACACTTACAACAAACTAAAAAGAGTTAACATCGGTTTTCCACCTACCATTTATTCCTACAGCATAGGTGATTTAACAAGAGAGGAAAGCTGACGGACGGATGCCAAAGCAGCAATCATTTCCTGGGCCATGTGTTAGATGCTAACATGACCCCTGGCCTCAAAAGGGCTCACAGCCTGGGGCAAGGAACTCTTAGTCATGCAGGAGTGAATTTAAAATTTAAGTGTACTACAAGAAAGAATTCTTTATATAAAGGACTCTTTTGTAGAATATCTTTCTTGAGAAATCACATTTTCTTGTCTTACATTGGTTTTAACTGGGCATCCACACTTACTGGCAGTTTGCCTCAGTACAGTATCTGTTTTGAGGGCATAATTCATAAAAGCATCTAAAAATCACTACGTTAAAGGGGGTAGGGAGCAAGAAGGAGGAGTAGGAAAGAGAAACCACGTTTGTTTGGAAAATATCACTTCTTTTTTGCTACTATTGGCTTTTGAGATGTGGTTCAGAACTTATCCTAGCTGGAAATGTATGTGTTTGAGAGCAAGAAAAACAAGCACAGAAAAATATGCACACAGAAGGAGAGAAAAAACAGGGACTGAAAACTGATGACTGATTTCACATCACTTAGAAAGCGAATTCAAACTTCAGAAATGCTGCGAATCCATACAAATCACGTGCATAAAATGCTAATATAACAAACATAAGAATGACACTACATATACTAAAACTAGCAGGCCTACACAAAATATTATTAGAAACCATTGAAGTAGATAAACGTAGCTGTGGTAGCATATATGTGATGAGAAGAGTAATCGTATTTCATTTTTAAAAACAGGTTTCTAGTCTACATCTAAGAGTCCTTCTGAATTACCTCAAGATATGCCAGTTTTTTCTCCGACCCTAACACACAGGCAGAAAGAATTCTATGCTTCTCTTACAACAGCTATCAGAACATCTTAACCTCCTCAGGAAGTTCAAACACAGAAAATGGAAAAGACTGAGCTTGCTTAAATAATTATACTAAACATCTTACCATCACAATTGATAAATGAAAACTTTTGAAAGAGAAGGACTTAACCAAAACAAATACTGTCCTATAACCCCCAAGATCTGGCCCAAAAAGCTCCATGAAGAGATTATTATTTGCGACTTTTTGGGTGTCAAACTAATATTCTATTCTAAATATTTCAATCTAATTTGTAAGTTTCCATTTCTGACACTAGCCAGCTGAAGGCACCTCAACATTACCTAATTTATTTATATCTTTTTCATTCCTAAATATATTTCAGGGGTAGAACACAGAATATAGAGAGAGAAAATACGTAGAAAGTAATACTAAATTTTATATAATCCTTCACTAATACCAGTGTAAAAAAGCACATAGCTTTTTCTAATCTTAGCTCATCACATACATTTAGAGTCAAATGATTCGTCAGAAGACCTGCAAACGCTCCAAACAACTGCAGGGAGCCTCCAAACTGGCACGAAGGCACTAGACGCAACCAGGCAGTGAAGGAAGTTAAAACTAACTGCACGGACTCTTCTCTGGGACAGAGCTGGAGAGAATTCTCAGTATATCACTACTGATGCATTTTGAGGCAGCTGATAGCAACTCTGGGGTGATTTCAAAGAAGAAGATAAAATCTGTCACTCAGCAGTAATTTTTTAAAAAAAACTACACATACAAAGAAATTAAAACCACTTCCAGGAGATGAAAAAACACGGAGCAGGAGATCCGACATGTTATGTGTCCCGTCTTCAGATTTAAAATCATATTGTCAGTTGTTTAAAGCAGCTCAAATTTAAGGTTTGTGCTATGAAATTGTGCAAATATTTTCTGCTAAGGGCTGGAGAAAACCAATGAACTACTATACTATTTAGCTTCCTAAGATACCTTGACCCACAGGCAACAAGTTTGAGAGACTAAGATTAACTTAGATAGAAATCCCACCAAGAAAAGTTTACAGTTTTGAGTTTTACAGTTTGACTTAAAAAGAAAATACAAACAAATCTCAAAATAAATCACAGCATCTTCTCTTTAAAAATTAGCAAAATCTTAATTAAATGTCCAAGTACACTGCTGCTGGCTTTAAATATTCCAATTAAATGCACTAACTCTTTCATTGGCCTGAATGAACAAAAGTATGTTAAAACATATGCCAATTATTTTAAAAGCACACAATCCTCTCAGACTGAAGTGGAGGGCCCAGAAATCCAACACTCCACATCCTTTAGAGAAAATGAGAGCTAAATCTCTGATACCGATACCAATGTAGATTCCATTATTCAAACTCCCCCACAAATTACTGGAAAAATATGAGGTAATTTCACAAAAATCACAATTGAATGGAGTAATTATAACTGACATATAAATAAGGATTTACTAAAAAAGGCTTCGAGGGGTGATATTTTAAATCAAGGTTTTAAATACAAAAGGTGTCTTGTGTTGCGGTATGGCCCAGTTTCAGATGCCCCTTATTCTACAGTTACAGATTTGGCAAGGTTCCGGGGGAAATCAACCTGAAAAAAAAAAAAAAAAAGAGCAAGATTTTAAAGATTATACAGATTGGGGGTGGGGATGGGGTTGGCATAACCAAATTATTTTTGTTATAAAAACAGAAAACAACGTGTTCATTAATCACCTTTATTACAGACTACAAAGAATTAGATTAGAAAATATGGTCATATAATGTGTCTATAAAAGATGTGAGATCAGTTAGGAAAAAGAATTCCAAAGGAGCCATTTGAGCACACAAAGAACTCCTGTGGTCCTCTATGAGGTGGCAGCCCTCTCAGGGGACACCAGAAATGGATAAGAGCAGGATGTTCTGATTATCACGTTGGTTGTTGTCACAATGAATGGGGGACCATGAATGCTGAGAATCCTACAATGTGTGACAGTCCCAAACGAAGAACGTCCAATAGCTACCCCACCAAGAAACACAGAGAGAAAACAGGTGGAGATTCCCCAATGAGGTGACCTCCAATCATGGAGGTGACATTCAAGATCCCTTCAAGTTCTATGGGTATGAAAATGGTAGGGTGTAACCTACAGACTGGGCCGTGCAAATATCACAGATGACAGACACCTACCATGGATTTCTCAAGTTCTACTGCTAAGAATTTAGAAGGAAACTACCAGAATGTACCAGGGGGAGAGCCAGCCCAAGATCCCTCACTTACATCATAGCCTCGCAGCACCGCCAGGTGGAAGGCCAGTAACTGTAAGGGGATCACGCTGAGAATGCCCTGCAGGCAGTCCACCGAGTGGGGCACCTTGATTGTTCTTTTCGTGTTCTTGATGGTCTCCGTATCTTCCTTATCACAGATCACCACTGGCCGTCCCTGGGAAAGAAAACCACACATACAGAAGCGCTGGTTAAGCAGAGGCAAGGCTGCAGCACATGAGCGTGCAAATCTTGCTCTGCACAATTAGCATCTGGCCTCACTGACACAGGCTCATTTAAACTCACAATCCCACATGGTTAAGTCTCACTCACAGTCGAGCAAAGAGGAGCTCTGAGGGACTCAGTGATTTGTTTAAACTCACACAACTAAGAAATACCAGGCTCGGTACAGGAATCTAAAACTACCTGCCTTCGAAGCCCAAGTCTGTAACCACTACGTTGCGACTAGAGATTAGTATCTTTGGGGATTTATATACAAAGCCAAGTGATCTGAAGAAAACTCAGTTAAGCACAGTACTCGTAATATTAGTGTAAAATCTAGTTCCTCCTGAAATACACATTTAAGAATATTAAATTAAAAGAGAGCAGCATAGCCCAGTGAAAGAAGACAGGATTTGGAGACCAAGACCTCAGTTTGGGTCCTGGTTCTGTGTCTTACGAGATCTATGAGCTGGGTCCTATCAAAACTCTTGAGTATCTCCTCAGATTATTCCATGTAAACCTAAGCAAGTTTTGAAAGCCATCTGCTGGGCACTGGTCTACCACTTTAAATGTCATAAAATTCAAATAAGCTTTAGTGACCCAGCTCTTAGACCCCCAAGGTGTCCTCACAGCAGCCCCTGGCTTACCTGCCTAGCAACCACCTGCTGAAGGGCATTCTGACACTTGGCGTACGTGTGGTCTCTCATGATGATCATGATGACAGGCATCAACTTATCCACCAAAGCCAGGGGGCCGTGTTTCAGCTCACCAGCGAGGATGCCTTCAGAGTGCATGTACGTGATTTCTTTGATTTTCTAACAGGAAAGAACTAGATTAGCCTTCAGTCTGTTTTTCCCATTCTTAAGTAAATATTACACAAAACATCTGCTATCTGAAGTCCCTGTCTACTTATCCAAAAGCATTAAAGGACCACCGATGCGCAAACATAGCTAACAGGTTAACAGATCATTATTTTTATAACATTAACAAGTAACTGGAAGTTTTAGAACTTCACAAGGACTTTTTGAAGATTTTAGATTATCACAAATGTACTCGTATCTTTCACTTTTTCCTACTTGCTTCATGTTTGACCCCAATTAAATCTCACACTTGAAGAATTTAAAATTTATTTTATTCGTATTTGGAAAAAAAAAATTAACCCAAGTTACTTGCTCAACCCAAGTTATCATGCTAAAATGCACCCTTCTTGATTTTTATATTTAGAGTATGTATTCTGTTACACTTTCTCAAGGTAAAGAAATCAGAACGCATAAACACAAAGGCACTTTCAGAAGCTCCACCCAACTGTGTCCCAGGTAACAGACTGAAATTCTGAGACTTACTAGGGCCCCTTCAAGACAAGTAGCGTAATGATAGCCACGTCCCATTATCAAGACCGACTTCTGATGATACAGCTCTGTTGCCAGTTTCTGAATTTCATCATCCATGCTCAAGACTTCCTTAATCAAATCTGTTAAGGATAATAGCACAATCTATGAAAAAAGGACAATAAACTGGACGGATATAATAATGATAACAACGGCAATATATTGGTAGCCACTGATACAAGACCAACGTTTCTAGTCTTCTGTGCTATCAGTGAGGGGTTTTCAGATGCACAGGAGGAACATGGAAAGATCTTACTGACTAAATAGGTACAGGCCACAGCCGCGAGGGTGAGAGGAGAATTTCACCCGTCTCCCACTTCCTCGGACAAGGAAAGGACAGAACGTGAGCGTCCTCGTACCAGGCAGCCGCTTCAGGCCAAGCATGATCTCTTTGCGTCTCTCCTGCATGGAGATCCTGTCGTCACACATCATGAGGGCAAACATCACGAGGGACACAAACTGGCTGGTATATGCCTGAAACACCACAAAAGGACAGACCAATTAGCTGCAGTTGCATTTGAAGAACTTGGAGCTTTTAATTTAAAAAAAGATGAAAATAAACAAGAAATTCCTATTGGTTTTTAAAGTCTCTATTTAAAGAAAAAAAAAAACAGCATTAGCAACAGCCAACTGAACCACGCTTTAGGAAATCCACGCTTTAGGATCTCTTTTTCTGAGTCTGAACAAACGATTTCACCTTTACTTCCAGATACAAAATGTTAAGTTTCCTGTAATGACTGCTTATGAAATCCCTAAAACCCTCAAGAATGGGAAAAAGAGCAACAAGCTAAAGGAAGGTGAGCAGAGAGTAAATCTGTTAAGGTTTGGATGTAAGTCAAAATCAAGGGTTTGAACGCCTCTCTTTGAGGTACTTGCACTGGTTTTGTCGGGTTTTCTTTAAACTTTCTTTTTGATTTTTCACTTCTGCCTACTGTCTGTTCTCACCCCCACCTTTTTTTTTTTTTTAAGTCTGGCTAAGAAATTTTTTAAAGTTCAACTGTAGGAAAGTAAATAGAAATAAGAATAATCCTCAGTCTTGTTAATTAATAGGAATAATTATATTAATAGCATCTGTGAAAACTTAACTTTGTTTTCTTCTTTATATTGTTGAGAAAATTATTAGTAGGTGTAGTTTGATAGGTTGCTTTTATTCTTAATTGACATCACAAGCACTTTCCCAGGACAGCCTGCTCTCTACCTCGTCTACGAGTGTGGAATAACCTTGAAAAGTTTGTTCATCTTTTGGGCTTCACGCAGCCCATCTCTTAAAGACACATAACACTTAGAAGATAATTATGAGAATTAAATGAAACAAACATAAAGCATTTAGCATCATGCCTAACATACAGGCTCAAAACAAACTTTTTATTAACGAAAGCCTGAACTAAAAGACACTTATTTTCCCAGGCTATAGTAGTGCGAATATTTTAAGGCTTGCAGTCGCACTGCCAAGACCATTTTCATTCCCGGTAGCCTCTTACAGATGTGAGAATGCCTACTTTACCACATTCTTTGCAATACTGAGAATGATCCTTTTAACAAATTTTTACCATTAGACTGCTGGACAGTGGACTCTCACTACTACTTCACCAAACGTATCTTGAATCCAAAAGCCTAAGATTTTTTCATGTTTGTTAGCCATTTATGCTTTTCCTCTTTTGAAAGTTAATTTCATTATTCTTGTTTTTCCACTTGGGTCTGTTTTCTTTAATGTCGGTCTTAAGAAGGTCTCTATTGCTCAAATACATTTTTCTGGTTTAGGTTAAACGTTTATAATGGTGCTCACTGACACAGAAGTTTTATTTATTTTTTTAACTTTTATACAGTACGTACTTTTAAACTTAGTCCTTCCATCCTAACATCAGGTAAGTATTTATTAAAGTTTCTTAATTCTGTTGTTTTCA